ATCGTATCAAAAATACTTCATTTATTAGAGATTAAATAATAATAATAATACAGTTTTAAATAATTTCTAGTCGCTATTGTCATCATCATCAGTATCAGATTCAGTGACACTCTCTTCAATCATGTCCTCCTCCTCCTCTTCTTTCTCAAGGTCCTTCCATTGTTCTTTACCTGATACCTCCTTCTGCTCATGCACCTTGATCTATTTATAGAACACATTAATCATAATTGTTACTATATTTAATGTTGATACTATTAATAGTAACATACAGTGATATCTTGCTGTACAGTGTAGTTCATGTAGGAGTCAGAGGTCACATACACAGTGTATCTGTATAGACCTTTCCTTTCCATTACCGTCTTCAGATTTACCTACCAAACATTGATCAAAAAACATGAACCAATAACTATTATTATTATCATTATTATTATTATTGTTGTTGTTGTTATTATTATTACTTCTTTCCTGTCAATTAATCCAGTGACACGTTCTGGTGGTATAACTATTGATTTTGTTCTCTTCTGTGCTACATAGACCCACCATAACTCGTGTTTGTCCTAACAATAATAACACAACATTGCATGTATACAAGCTAATTCTTATACACACATTAAGTGAATTTTTGAAGTGTCCTAAAAATTGGACCAAAGTCCCAGTACTATAGTACAAGGATTTTGGTCAAACTTTTCCAAAAATGAATAGAAGAGAATTCTCCATTATAATTACATTTCCTGATACATTATACATGAAACGTATACACATGTGATGGTGGTATGTTGTGCAGCTGGTTCCTCACTGCTGGGAAGTAAGGAGCATGGACAAGGTGACTTGTATTGACTAGATTCTTCTGCTGCTCTCTCTCTTTCTTGACTGACTTTTGGAGCTCCTTCCATTCTCTCTCTTCATCATCAAGTGTATCCTCATTATCATATTCATTATCCTCTAGGGGGTGTGGCCTAATAATTATTATTAATATTCAATTATTACCTTCTTTGGTATCGTCTGTACTTTCCTTTTTAACATTAGTGACTGGTTCACTCTAAATATTAATAGGAGGGTGTGGTCAGTCACACCCCTACAAATAGTGCTAATTACTTTTTGCTTTTGTGTATTTGTTTGCCTTTTCTTTCCAGCTCCGCCTCCTTTCGTTTGTTTGTTTTTCTTTTTAATTTTTTGTTGTTTATTTTTGCCAGTGGGCGAGGCTACTTTGACAACACTACCTTCATTTGGTTTGTCAACAAAAGATAAAGTCTCGGTGTCCTACAGAGACATTGGCAATGAATAATAAATTAGTTACATTAATTAACTTTGTCAATATTCGAGTCATTATGAGTTGATCCTGAATCTTTATCACGAGAAGAGGTTCCGTAATAATCCTACAACAACTTAATTAATGATGGCCCCTCCCTCCCTCCCACTCACTAATAATCCGGTTCTTATTAAGGTAACTTTTATTGTGACATAGGAACCAGCTGATATTAAACTAGTGTCTTCATCATCTTCAACTAATTAATATTCATAGATATTAATTAATGTGGGTGTGGCTACTCACCTCCAGTTTCTACATTCATTTCGATGTGTGGGAAATTTTCACAAAATATCATAATATCTTGATACTCTTCGTCCGATAGGTTCTTAAGGAGGCGCCTTGTGTGAAACCATACAAGTACAAGTATTGTAAGCATTGAAACTACCTCCTCTCTTCGTTTCTCAATTTCGCAAAATCTTCAACACTAGACAACCTGTGCTGTTAGAAGACAACACATTATTAATTAATTAATTAATTAATTATAAGCACCTTTTTATGGTAAAATATCTTCCTGTCATTAATATGAGGGAGTTGTTCGAGGG